ATCAAATAAGCAGGTTATCTAAAAACTTAATCTACATGCTGTTGATAAATGGGGAATTAAACGGCTTGTTAATTTTAACGCTTCCAACAAGAAACTGAACCCCTTTTACCTTCCATCAACATGGCTGATGTTAACCTCCAGGAGAATGACCTGCTGCGACTTTTCGGGTTAACCTTTTCTACTGACATGAAATGGAAAGATTATATTGAATCCATTGATAGGTCTACTGCTAGGAAAGTTGGTTCACTGTGTCGTGCTAGACAATTTTTCTTTCTTGCTAGAATCTATCTTACACTTTTAGAAATCAATCATTCATTCATGCATTCAATATTGCTGTCACATCTGCTTTGATGCTTCTGTTATGCATTTAGGGATTTTTGATAATTTGCAATGTTGTCCTAACCTAATATCAGTTCAATCACTTTTCCAACGCCGTAACGTAGCTTCTCTGTGACTTTTCTATAAATATTTTCATGGTAATTGTTCTCATGAGCTTTTCTCTTTGTTATCACGACTTTACGAATTTAAGCGCAGTACTAAATTGGCGACAAGGTCTCATCATTTTACATTTGAAATGGCTAGATGTAACCGTAAGTTCTATGCTAACAGTTTCTTCCCTTGCACTTCTCGCCTGTGTAACTCTTTTCCGGCTTCTTGCTTCCCAGTCAACTTTGATCTTCAAAAATTGAAATGCAACGTCAATCGTCGTCATCTGCCTCCTTCATTCCTCTTCTTTTATTAGCATCTCTACATAATATTTTTTTTCTTTCAAGGCATAATGTGAAAGTAAGCATAACAGAGATTTGAACTCAGTTCACTGATTCCATTTTATGTGCCAATAACGGCTACACTACCCGCACATCTGCTTAACTTGACACCGAGTTCAAATTCAATCGGAGCTCACCGTTACAAGTAGTAGTTGTGCAGCATTTTGGAAAGTATTAACGGACAAGTCTTTCTGCTCTCCCCTTATCATGAATCTGGCTGAGAAATTGGATGAAAGTGACAGACAGACAAACAAATAAATAAAATTGGGCCTGAAGGGATTCAAGACGAGCCAAATAAGGAAAATCCAGAAGAATTCGCGGTGATATTGTCTATAAGTACTTCGATTTGGTAGTCAAGGAGTTGTTAGTCACATGCCAAAGGCAACTTTTGTCGCTTGATTTTGTTGTTTCATCTCTGTTTCTGACGTCAAGACATAATGAAAATCCGATCAAATTTCGTCATATTTCTCACCTATTCTAGTTACTGTTTTGACGAAGGAGATTATCGTGAAAAGAAAAAAAAACAAATCATTTTTGTACGAAGTAGAATAAATGCCAGGCAATACCAATCGATACTGCTTCTCTATCTTTCCGATCACTTTGCTAACCATCAATCCGAAAGGGGTTGAACAGAGCTGGTCAAACAAACTGATCGAATAGAATCATCTTTCTGATACATGTGAATCTCGCTAAATTGGCTTCGGGAACGCGGTGAGACCGTTTCCCAACTGAAGAAGCGTATCCATCCCGCCTAAACCCACCATGACGACTATCATGGCCAACAGGGACACTCAGTGAGAATTTTCCGTGTCACTTGATATATAAAGATTAGAATAAGTGCAGGTTTAGGTATATTTCATTAATAAATCCTGTCCGGGATATTAAAGGTCACAGGTCATAGCTGATTAAAAAATAATTCATATAACGAGATTATCGTGGTAATCTCTAAGACGTTGCTGAACGAGAGAAAAGTGATCATTACTTAGACTGTACAAAGTAGCGTTGAAAATTTCTTGATCTGACCAAGAAGGACCCCTCCTCTCTCTCTCTCTCTCTCTCTCTCTCTCTCTCTCTCTCTCTCTCTCAAACACACATAAATAAAATCTGGTGGTTTTCCTACAGAAGACAGTGAAAGAAAGCGAGAAAGACTAAATATAAACTGTATGAAGACAGAATACATGGCTACCAGCAAAAGGGTGAGCCGAAAATGCAAATTACAAACCGGGGATTCTAAAAACAAACAAATACAAACATTTAAATATTTTGGAAGTGTTCTAACAGAGGACGGAGATACTGAGATCTGAAGGCGTATGGGGATGACCAAATAAGCATTCTAGCTTAGCTATGAGAATTTTTAGTTTCTGTTTATTCTTTTCGTGGAAAAGTATGTAGATATTTTCGACGAGGATTTTTATGAATTGCGAATGTCGACAGGTATATTGTTGCAAATGCTTAGAAATATTGGACGTGTTATTCAGGTGAAGACTTAAGCTACGTGAAAGCGTTGTTGTCGTGTGTCTAACATAGATATTATTTTTATCGTTAGAGATGCAATCTCCCAGAAGATATTTAAATTTATAAACGATGTTGGCTTCTGCATCATGTAAGTGTCCGGGGAAGACTCATTACATACGATTTTATTAGATATAGTGGATTTAATGCAGTATAAATTTATATATATATATATATATATATATATATATATATATAAAACTTTGCAAGATTTATGAGCAAAGAATATTAGGATAGAGCTTTTGTAGAAAGAAATAGTGTGGACATAGAAATCAATAGTTTCACACCTCAACCGATCATCAGGCCGTTGTATAATATTTATACATATATATAATTATTAAAATTATATATATATATATATATATATATATATATATATATATATATATATATAATTAAAAAACACAAAAAAATTATCCAAAAGGAACACACTTGAAAAGACACAGGAAAGAAGAGTGCTCAGTGGTATAATGACGGAGAAAATTATACAAACCATAATTTCCTGGTACAGGTCTAACCTACTACGACTGTCAGTTTTCTGTATGGCAGTCATGCATTTGTCAGGCGGTCGGCATTAGAGGTTCACTGAACTGGATATTTTATTCTAGCCTCACCAAAATCACCCAAACGGGTATAACACAAATGTGTTAAATACGTGACAACCACGCAGGAAACTGACAGCCACAGTCGGTTAAACTTGCACCAGGAAACCATGATATATATATATATATATATATATATATATAATAATTATAATTATATATATGTAATTCGCAGACAGTACTGTTTAGCTGTATCACAGCTCCTCAGTGCGACTAGATATCCGAATACTTCAAGCCCGGATCGAAACCCAACCGAGAGAAACAACTAAATCTAGCGAATTGTTTTTACGAATGAAAACAAATGTCAATCAGCCGGAGTGCTCCAATTCATTTTACTGAAGAGCTTTGCATTAATGCAGGTGCCTGTTGTTTATGGAATTAGCTTAACAGTGCTCAATTGAAATATATTTTCAAGAGCTAAATTGTGTCATTCGCAGACAGTACTGTTTCACTGTATCACAGTGCGACTAGACATCCGAATACTTCAAGATCGGATAAAAATAATAATAATATATTACTCTACTTTGTATTGAACAATTTTTTAAAATATATATATATATGTATATATATACACTTTATATACTCAATAAAAAGTAGAGTAATATATTATTATTATTTTTATTATTATAAGAAATTATAATAAAACATATTGAAATCACCACACAAAAGCTTTCATGTTTCAATACTTTGATTGCACTTCTTCAGGTGATGGTAAGTAACTGGTGATTCTTTTTCATTTTTTTTATTTAATTTAAACTAATTCTATCAATTTCTAGCCTGGTCGTTGATAGGGTTGATAATTCTGGTGGGAAGCTAACCTCAAAATCAGGTTTATGATCCTTGATCGTGACATAGGATTCTTTAGTACTGAGTTTGCTAACTCTGTTGCTAAACTTTCACCTTAAGAAGTAAAATAAAGGATTGAAACGCGAAAGCTTTTGTATAGCGATTTCAACATGTTTTTATTATAATTTTAGATAATAAAAATAATAATAATTATATATACACACATACACACACACACACACACACACACACACACACACACACATATATATATATATATATATATATATATATATATGTGTGTGTGTGTGTGTAAGCAAATATATGGATATATATCCGACAGTATGAAGAAAAGAATATACAGAAAAAACAAGCAAAAATCTTAATATGCAATTATGCTGTATTAATGTTAATATATCAACGGAAGGGATTTCTTGAACTGTTTATTTGAGAAAATAGTTCAATCGTGCTTGTTTAATATTTTAATATTTTGAAATCATCTTTGAATACGTTTTCACAAAATCGCCCACGTGACGACGACGTGATCATATTTAAACGGAACGCTGATCTTATATAAAAATTTCAGTTATCTGTTTGGATTAGTTGTACTCTTATGTCCATCGTCTTTTCATGTTGAATTTTATATGTTCTAATGTTAATTATGTTTTATGAATATGTCCTGAAGATGGTCTAAAATAGACCGAAACGCCCGACGTTGACTTTATATTAACATTAATACAGAATAATTGCATATTAAGATTTTTGTTTGTTTTTTTTTCTGTATATTTTTCTTCATATATATATATATATGTAAAGATGACTGACAAGGTACTGCGATTAACATTTTTATTTAACTTTTTCGATTTCCTATGAGTGTTTTCTTTTCTGGCCAGATAGTGTGTAAAAATTATCCAGATGTTCTATATGTCCTAACGCTTTCGGCTGTTCGTCGAAAGCGCTTGGGTATATACAAAATTTGAACAATTTTGACACACATCATGTCCAGAAAAGAAAACACTAATAAGAATACGAGAAAAATTAAATAAAAAATCTTAATCGCAGTAACTTGTCAGTCGTCTTTAATGAAACTTGTATAAAAGAAGGAATGCTACCCAAATACACACACACACAAACACACACACACACACACACACACACACACACACATATATATATATATATATATATATATATATATATATATATATATATATATATATATATATATAGAGTGCAAAGAAGAAAAATTCTTCTAAAAACACCTGATGTTTTTCATTTGGTCAGATTTTGGGAAGTAGGTTAAACCAGAATCTTTCAGCGCCTCTTGATATATTTAGAAGGCGTGTAGTGAAAGAGGAACAAAGACAGAAATGACTTTGGCCTTTAAGGTAGATACGACAGCTACTAGATTAGGGTTAAGAAAAAAATCCTGCTGCTAAAAGGGCCCTTGAAATAAAAAAAATAATGTTCTGTACCAGAAAAGAAAAAAAAAAAACTAAAACGTATTTCATGAAAAGACGAAAGAATTTTCAGAACCGATTAAAGAGACAGACGACAAACTGCTTTTGTTTGGTTTCAATCAGAATTTCCCATTTGCTAATTAGAAATACTTTTGACTGAAAACTAAGAATGTTAAGCGTATTGTCAAAGAAGTATTAATTTGTGTATATCATTATAGCAAAACATCTGTACCAGAAATTTGAAAAAAAAATCTGTATTCACAAATATCCAAACTGCAAACCCACAATCGTACAATGCTGTAGTTTTCAAATATTAATCAACAAAGGTCGTTTCGACCAAGACATTTACAAAAGTCCATTGAGAGAGCAAAACTATGTGAGAAAAAGACTTTAATCAGTTAGAAAAAAAAAAGGAGAAACTGTTGACCTATCCCCACTGCTAGATATTAGGTGATAGCTTAAGGTAAATCAATGATTGGAATGGATGTGCGAGATTTTACAGGACAAAAAAAAACATATTAAGAAGTCTATGATGAGAGATGAAAAGAAACTTACAGTCCCAAAATACAAGATGTTCACAGTTAGAGATACATTTTACTCTGGGTGCCTTTGATATTCTTTCTGCGAAGTCTGGGAAAGTAAATTGTACACCTGGCCAAAGTTATTTGCTAAGCCTGGTGCTAATGAAATGTTAAATTGTGTATTTCATTTCAGAAGCCATGAGAAAATTCTTTGTTTTCACAAATGGCTGTTAGAAGGAAGCAAATGCATAATCAGACAATTTTCTATTCGTTTGTTATCCGTAGTTGCTTTGAGCTGGTGATTCACAAATTTCAATTGAGAGGGTCCAATTATCAAACATGCCATAGGGAGTGGATCAGACATAAAAAAAAATGGTCAAAAGAGAAAAACTGTTGGGTTATACACTGCTAGAGATTAGATATAGTAGTTTAAGGTGAATCAATGATAGGAATGGATAGGCGGGACATTAAAAAAAAAAAAAAAACATTAAATAGTCTATACGGAAAGATGAAAAGAAACTTTCACTCCCAAAATATAAATTGTTCACTTTTTCCAAGGAGAAAAAAGACAACATGATTGTGCTAGAAGCTATGAATTGTATTGTGACTATCAGGTTTTATCTGGTTAAAAGTCAAGTAGCTTTAATTCCCATCCTGATCAGCCTCTTTGCCAGGGTTTACTTTCAGTAAAGATAGCAAAGTTGAGGGACGTGCAAAATCTGTAAAATTATCTCTTCGTTGAATCCATAGACATTTATAAATAATCTTCATGCATTTGAGGACAGGGAAAGAATCAGAGTTTGAGATTTTTCTTTTACAGCCTGCAATCCAGTATTTTCGTCTCTAGTCCTGTTACATATAGAATAAGATTCTCATTCTTTGTTTGTCAACTAGAATAGTTCTGTGATGTCCAACGCTTACTCATTGTTGATTCCGTAGACATTTATAAATAATCTTCATGCATTTGAGGACAGGGAAAGAATCAGAGTTTGGAGATTTTTCTTTACAGCCTGCAATCCAGTATTTTCGTCTCTAGTCCTGTTACATATAGAATAAGATTCTCATTCTTTGTTACTGTAAACTAGGATAGAGACACTTGAGTTTGTTCTTTCAAATGTTCGATAAACGTTAATTTTACTTCAAAATATACAATTTTATAATAGTAATTTAATTGTCAAAAGGCCCAAGTCCAATTAATTGGAAACATGAATATCTTAAGCTGCTATCGGTAAATGATTAGTCATTTCAACCAAGAACTTGTCTGTAAATTCTTTCTTGAAAAAAATATAAATTACAATTGAAAGTATCATCTACATTAGGGCTCTTTTTGAAACTAAGAGGTTCTTCTTAGCCGGCGTGATTCATCCTCTAAGGGACTTTATCAAGGCAAGCATTTGCCTTGATAAAGTCCCTCAAAAGACGAACGCGTTGGCTAAAATAAGTTTTACTTTTGCCTTTATTCATATTGTCTTTTTACAGATATATTTTATCTGAAATTTTCACACACACACACACACACACACACACACACATATATATATATTTGTGTGTGAGTTTATTCATATTTATCTATCTTTTCATATGCATCTCAACCTGGTCAAATCTCTATCCTTCTCTATCACTATTTCTTTATTCATCTATCTATCTAAAACCTTTCATATATTTTTCTAAATCTGTTCATATCTATGTAGGTCTTTAACAATTTCAATTATTTCCTATCATTCTCCTATTTTCTTCCTTTTTTCTTTCCTAATTCAGTATAGTTTATTCTTCTGTTGTAACTTCTTTGTGATTTCCTTTACTCTCTCTCCCCCTCTCCCCCCCTCTCTCTCTCTCTCTCACACACACTCTCTCTTTCTCTGTATCCTCCATTAGTTAATACTGTCAGATGCGCCTGCGATAAACACTGAAATTCACTTTGTTTCTTCACACAAACACACACACACAGAGAGAGAGAGAGAGAGAGAGAGAGAGAGAAAGAAAGAAAGAGACTCTTTTTGATGTGCGATTCTTTCTGTTTTGTACGTGACAAACTAAAAAAAGAACATCTAATGTATTTGCACATTGCCTTTTTGCATCCGGGTATTTTTAGCTTCTCATTGTTGATGATCGCTTTCAAATGACTCGCATAAATCCAAACAACGCGTTCTCCATTTACGCTTGCGTCAAATCACTTCTTTTTTGGCGCCTCTTGCACTAATTGCCCGTGTCCTCTCGCCGAATTTGACCAATGTTCTTTCCTAAGAACTTTGTCAGGCATTTAACGCATCAATCCAAGTTGACGTGCGAGGTTTCATGCTCAGGATCTAAAGCATATATTTTTTATATGAGACTTGTAATGATATGAAATACTTCGATATAGAAACGGAAATAACATTACTTTGCCCATGCGTAATGCACACACATTTGCCTCTCTCTCTCTCTCTATATATATATATATATATATATATGTGTGTGTGTGTGTGTGTGTGTGTGTGTGTGTGTGTGTTAAAGGTACAAAAGGTAATTAAAGTGATAAAAACAGATCTATGAAAACAAGAAGGATAATTAACAAGAACGAGGTTATAAAAAAAAAGTATAACCGCAAACAGGTAATATCGAAACATGATTACCAAATAATTAGCTAAACAGGTTAAGCTTATTTTTTACTACTTCTTGTTTTTGCTTTGTGGGACTTCTCCATCTTTAGGCCGGTTGACATTAATTTAACTGTCCAAAACAAAAACATACATCAAATTCACGGAGCTCATTTTAACCAATCAAATTAGCAGAATTGTCCTGGTTATGTTAGCTTCTCATTGTCATCAGAATACATCCCACAATGCATTGCTATCGAATAACTGTTACATTAAGCTTTTGTCTTTTTAGTACTGAACTTCAGACGAATAAAGCAGGCAAGGCTTATCTGTCAGTGTTGTGCAAGAAAATATTGTGGTTAGAATAAATATCAGACGTGTTTTAAAATGAAAAACAAGACCAATGCTAAAAAAAGCTTTCAAATAAGACAGTGGTAAGTTCGTGAGCATTTACGCCCACCCATGTTATATGATGTGAACACGAAGTGGTCGAATCACTAAAAGCTTTTATCGTTACATGCCACAAGCTGTCAGCTTGCTTCAGAAGCAATGCGAGATCCAAACGACATTGACGTCTTTACAATCAAACACGATTTTTCTTACACGCTGAATTGACAGACATCCCACCATATTTTACCCAACATTCCCAGCATATGATACTCAACTTACGTTCTGAATCGTATTCTACTCTCTTGATAATGAAAATCTGATTTATTTACAATTGTTTATATTTCCCTTAAACTAAAATAAATTCATTTTTCTCTTATGGCCTTTTTAAAACGAGTTCTTTATAAATCTGTTTTAGATTTGAATTCTTTGATGAGAATGGTTTTCGTAATTGAAGTCTAAGAAAAGATTCTTTGATTTATTGAAGCACAATATTGCAGTTTCTATTTTAGTTGAGATACACAAGCAAAATATGTGTTGAAAACTACAATGACGGGCTTGACAACGATTGACTAATCAATTCTCTAATATACTCTATCAATGAACTTCCATGATCACATAATGATACGAAAATTTAGTAGTAACGTAAATCCTCGTTTCTGATTGGTAGTTGCCAAAGATTAATCTTTATAATAATAATAATAATAATAATAATAATACAAATCAGCACGACACTTCAAAATTCGTAAAAATCTTTAACATTTAACAACTTTTAAGGTCCACAGATTTTCTTTTCAAGAAAGTGCTCTATAGATAACTAGAACAACAATTATCAATTAATAAATGTTCAATCAATTTGTCTCTTGGCCGACTTCATAGTTTCGCGTAATATGGCTAATCAAGGTCAGAGGTTCCGATATATCGATTGAATTATTACTATTATATTTATACTCTCTCTCTCTCTTATATATATATATATATATATATATATATATATATATATATATATATATATGAAATGTAGGTACTTTCAAAGATATGCGATACCTAAGGTTTAAAATGAATTTTTAAAAATTAGGAATCATTATTGACGCTTTTATTTTGGTTTTAATTGCAAACTAATAAATTAAATTTAATATTTCCAATAGGCAAAATAGTTTTTCTATATTTTAAAATTAATTTAAAGTGGAGTTTTTGTTTTTAAGTCGCTAAAATCGCTGATTTTAGCGCCAGTATTACCTATCTGTCATCACACTGTAATTCTCTTTTTTTTAAAAAAAAACAATCATTCAAAAATCAAATATACTTTTCTGAAACTTTATTTCAGGAATACTAGCTCATTTGAAGTTTAATTAATCTGATTTGAAATAAATATTAATTTAAGTTTAAAATATCGCAGAAATGTATTATCACGACAATAGCTGTTTACTTAACGTGTCAGTTGATGATTTCATTGATAGACGGAATTTTATTTAAATTTACTTCTATGGTGGACATATCTGTAAAAATTATTTGAAGAATATAACGTGAGCGCCATTTTAACTAATGTTTAACTACCCAGTAATCATAAAAATTTAGGAAAATATTTTTCGTTATCCAATTTTTTATTGAATTTTAGGTGCTTAGGCTTCAAATTTATTTTAGTTATATATTATTTTCTGATAATTTCATATATCGATTCGTTTATACACACACAAAAGAATTCAATTTTTTTTTAAATACTGGGCGTTGCTAAACAGTAGTAAGCTTTTCCATTTATGATAAGTAAATTTCTTCCTGGCTTGGCTTCGTGAACAAAGATTTATGAAGTGGGCTGTCCACGCCGACTGCAGGTACGCTGATGGCCGTCCAGGCCAATACGGGACGGGCAAGTCCGGCCGCAGCGACTGCAATTAAATGTCCGGTCTGGTCTGGTCTGGTATAGCTGCTGAGGCTTCCCAGCCCTTCCTTCCGCGGTGCCAGGCTTGACGGTCAGCAGCAATTGTCTACCACTGGCGATGGTTAATGTGGCAGGTACCGAGGGACTTCTTGAGGGAGTCTTTATAACGCTTCCTGGGTGCCCCCCTGTCACGGTGACCAGTGGAGAGTATGCCTATCAGGGCTATCTTGGGTAGGCAATTGTCCCCCATTCTGGAGACGTGACCTGCCCAGCGTAGCTGTGACTTCAGCAACATGGCTTCAATGCTGGTGATTTTCACCTCTTCGAGGACCTCAACGTTGGTGACGTAGTCACTCCAGTGAATGTTGAGGATGGTACGGAGACAGCGCTGATGGAAGCGCTCAAGGAGTTGTAGGTGGTGGCAGTAGGTTACCCACGACTCAGAGCCGTACAGCAGAGTGGTGAGGACGATGGCTCTATAGACGCTAATCTTAGTGCACATCTTCACATGCTTGCTGTTCCAGACTCTTTTGTAGAGTCTGCCGAAAGCGCTGTTTGCGTTGGCCAGTCTGTTGTCTATATTTCTGTCGATCTTGGCATCCGATGAGATGGTACAACCCAGGTCAGTGTACTGGTGAACTGCTTTCAGCTCAGTCTCACCGATGGTGATGTGGGGATGGCGATATTCTTCTCGGGTTTCAGGCTGGTGAAGAACCTCCATCTTCTTCAAGCTGATCTCGAGTCCGAAGAGCTGGACAGCCTCTGCAAAGCAGGATGTTAGGAACTGCAGGGCTCTTTCGGTGTGGGCGACGAGGGCAGCGTCGTCAGCGAAGAGGAGGTCACGGGACAGCTGCTCAAGTGTTTCTGTGTGGGCCTGCAGTCTCCTGAGATTAAACAGACTGCTATCTAGGCGGTAGCGGATGTGCACAGTATCGTCATCGTTAAGGTCTTCTGTGACCTGTTTAAGCATCATGCTGAAAACGATGCTAAACATAGTCGGTGAAAGAACACAACCCTGTTTCACGCTGTTGATGGGGAAGGGTACGGATATGTCGCTATTCAACATGATTGTGCTGGTCTTTGTGCAGTTGGATGACCAGGTTGAGGAACTTTGGGTGCAGCCGAGACGCTTCATGATCATCCACAATCCCTTTTTGCTTACTATGTCAAACGCTTTGGCAAAGTCCACAAACATTACATACAGTCCTTTGTTCTGATCCCGGCATTTCTCTTGAAGCTGCCTGAGGACGAACACCATATCTGTGGTGCCCCTGTTGGCTCTGAAGCCACACTGACTTTCTGGTAGGTGGTCTTTAGCTATGATGGGCATCAATCTGTTCAGGAGCACACGAGCAAGGATTTTTCCTGCGATGAAGAGCAGAGTGATCTCCCGGTAGTTGGAGCTATCTGACTTTTCTCCCTTGTTTTTGTACAATGTGATGATGACTGCATCGTTGAGGTCACTTGGAAGTCTGCTCTGCTCCCAACAACAGACAAGGAATTCGTGGACCGTGCTGTGTAATGCCGGTCCTCCATCTTTCCAGATTTCTGGTGGAATCCCGTTGACTCCCGCTGCTTTACCACTCCTCAACTGCTCTATGGCATTGGTAACTTCTTCCACAGAGAGTAGTTCGTTTATTTCTCTCTTGACTGGTTGATGGAGGATGCGGAAAACTGCTGGGTCCTGGATGACTCGGTCAGCGTTGAAGAGGGCCTGGAAGCACTCAGACCAACAGCTCAGGATGGAGGCCTTGTCTATGAAAAGTACCTGTCCACCGGCAGCCCTCCTCACAGAACATGACGGCTGGGCCTGGTGGGCTGATCTCTTCTTCGCCAGCAGTTCCTGAATCTCATGGTTTCTCATCGAACCAGTCTTTGTTCTTCCTGATGGTAAACCCCAGAAATTTCTCAGATGTCTGCAGGATGGCGGTCTTCAGTGTTTCAGCAGAAAGGGGTCTACTGGACAGTCGCCGTTTTCAAGCTTGGACTGTATCCCTGCACCGAGTGTGAAGGACGTCTTTGAGGTCGCGCTGGTATACAATAACGTATTCTATGAGGTCTGGACCGAGGATGCATCCAGGTTGTTTTAAGACTCCCCTTTTGCTGGAAGATGGTGTTAGCAATGACAAAGTTGCTGCCCAATGCAAAGCTCCAGCAGCTGTTGTCATCCAGTTACCAACGAGCTTTGAAGAAGGCTGCGGAGTTCCGAGTAGAACTTGTCTTTTTCTGCAGGTTCAGCTTGTAGAGTTGGAGCGTACACACTTGACATACTGGTTGTTCTTCAGAGAGAGGCGCATGGACATCATATGTTCGGAATGAGTGGTTTTGCAGATTTTCCAACCTGGCGGCAATGGAGGGGCTGACCAAGAAGCCGACGCTTGAAAGACACCCCTCTGTTGCAGGTTTCCCTGAACAGAAGAAGGTGTATCCAGCGCCATACTCGTGGAGGCTGCCTTCGCCTGGATACGGACCTCGCTAAGGGCAGCAATGTCGACATTTAACCTTGACAGTTGGCGTGAGATCAGCGCTGAGCGACATTCAGGTCGGTTTCCGTGAACTGCATCAAGCATGGTTCTGACATTCAAGCATGCTAGTTTTTGCACCCTTCCTTGTTTTAGTGTTATTCGGCCGTTTGAGAAGATGTCCGTTGACCGCGGCAAGCCAACTGGGGGATGAGAGACGAGCTTTGGTTAGACCACCTTTTCTAGGCCCCTTTCCTTGTGGAGCAAGTAGTGCTGTTCCTAAAGAGGGCTGCTTGATCGTTCAGGGATCTGCCGGGTGATGCTGTCATCTCAGATCAGCATCAGACGGCCAATATCCTGAACCGCCTGCATGCAGGATTGAAACTGCAGCTTCCAGCGACATCCTGCGCCTGCCGTTTCGCCCCTTTCCCATTGCTACCGGACTTGGAAGAGTTGGTGTTGGTGGCATCACGGACGTGGACCTGTCTCTTGAGCTTGCGCAGTGGGATTTTTAGGTGGAATGCATTGCGCGCACTACTGGCCCCACACTTTACATCCGTGGTTCATCTGTCAAGCTGGGACGGTAACATCTCGAGGTCCTCGGGTCGTAGGTTTTACGTCAGACTCTTCTTGTCCTAGATGGATTGCCTGCCAAGGCTGTCGAGCTCCATCTGCTCCTGGTATGTAATAGCTATTAAACCCATAGCTGGCTCCCTAAACAGGTACTATCACCCCGGGACAAGGTGAACCTGGAAGCAATGGTAATTAAGGGGTCACTCCATTCTCTCCAAAACTCTGGCACTCCCAGACCAGAGCCTTACCACCAGTTGCAGTTTAATGTCATACCCAGGACAAAATAGAGTTTTTACTTAATAACAATATCACCTAACCGATACAAATTAAGACAGAAATTTAAAAGATTTAAAACTTTATAAATTCTTTTAATTAAAATTTTTAAAAATGAAAACAATTCTTGTAAAAAATCATTATTCATGAAAATTTTTTTTTTAATTAAGACAATATTCTACATAATTTATTTTATTCATAAAAGCAATTAAAGCTTTTCTAATTAAATAATGTATCATTTTATTGTATTTATTATTTTACGATACAAAGGGGTGGAGGTTCGTTTTTGCAAAAATAAATTTTAAAAATTAAATTTAAAATTTTCCAAGAACTTCTGCGCATAAATAATATAAACATTAAGTGGTACCAAAATTAAATTTCTTGAAATTTCTAAAAACATTAAATAAGTGAGGGGGGGGGCAACAAATGTAAAAAAAAAAAAAATTGGGGGCAAAATTTTCTAAAAAAATATGCATTTCTAAAATAATTTCATTCAGTTTCATTAAAATCCAACTATTATTTGGTTTTTGCAAGATTTCCCAAATCACTGTGTTTTTCACCTCAAAATTTACTCTACTAATCTTTGGTTCCCCCCCCTCTAACGCAAGAAAAACAAAATTTTAAAACCAAAATGTCGAACGTTCAAAAACGGATTGTAGAATTAAATAATCAAAAAATACTTTGATCTTTCCTATTAATAATAACATAAAGATTTTGACGATAAAACTTTGTTTTTATTAAGTTTGGGGCATTTTTTCATCATGGTATGCTTATTTGTTAGCAAATATGTCGAGTTGCTTGTGTGTGCGTTCGAGTCTCTGTGTGGGTAAATATTTATTAAGAATAGTTTACTTTAGTCGAGTAAAAGGCCAGAAGACGGGAAATCAATGATAGGAAGATTGTGGTACTCAAACTTCTGAATGGATAAAACAGGCTTGCTTTGAAAATCGGCAGTCACGGCTTTTACCTAGAGCCGAACGCCGACCACCGTTTCCGGCGAGAAAGAAACAACGACTTCCTCCGCCAAAACAGGTTACCTTCCATCCTCTTGACAGCAATGTACTTGATGTTTCCTCAATTTTTACTTTTTTTTTCTTTCTAATAGATTGGGTCTCGCGCCTGGCTGTGCATTTTTACTTAAAACAGAATGATCACGTGACTCTTACGCCGTTTGAACATTTAATCAAGCAAAAAGAGAACGCAAACAAAAACGACCGTTTTTGTTAAAAAGAAACAAACAAAAAAAACTGTTTCTTCCTAGTAACGACGTCGTTTTCAAAGTGCTGTCTTTGATAGAGTAAACAACGCTATAACGAGACGGAGAACTCTTGGTTGACCTCTTGGGTCTATCAGTCAAATTGGCAGGGGTCAGGACTGGAAAAAAAAAGTAGCTTGTTTTGAAATCGATTAGTATGGCATTGAGCCAGCAGAAAGGCAAAATCGGAAGAAGCGAAAGGTCATGTCCGTTAATGCGTATTTGGAAAATAAATGAAAGACCTTTGACCGCCAAGCAGTTTTTAAAAACCCTTTAAAGAATGACGTGTTTTAGGAAAGAAAAAGAATCAGAAATTGCTGTTAAGGTTTCAGTTGCAGATTTGTCTTAGCTACACCTTAATTATTTATGTGTGTGTGCGTATGTGTGTGTATTTACCATGTTTAACTTTGTTGGAGAGCTTCGTAAACGAAGGTAAAGTGCCTTTTAATATGTCAATGTATAAATGCAAATAAATAAAAGAGTGAAATAGTTGTAAATATTTAATGATTATGTCTTTATATACACATATATCTGTGTGCATTTGTATATCTATGGGTATAGTAACACACACACACATATATAAAAGAACAGGAGCATAAGAAAGATCTACATGCCAATTTGTTCGATACATTAGTTATACACAGAAATAATACAGAAACCACAATTTCTATCTCAAGAATGCTATACTTATTAAAAGAAAAAATAATTTATTTATGCGAAAAGTTATTGAGGATGCAATTATCAGTTTTTGCCAAAATGTTAACATACGACGTGATTTTTTTAAATCGGTATCACCCCTATCAAGGCAGTACAGCCACTAAGACGCAAGGGATTACAAGGTGTTGAGGAATTAGGAACAAAAACATCAATAATGAGAAGAAAGAGAAAAGATTAATCAGGAAGACAGAGGGTAGCATCAGCCATGCTGATGGAAGGCAGACAGGGGTCTCTCAGATGATTAATGGAAAGAAGTTTATTTTTGGAGGAGTTAAAATTGACAAGCCATCAGTAGCCCCAGTTAACAACGGTCTTAAGGTCGTTTTGTACATCAGCTGCTATTTTGATCTTGTCAAACTGATCAGCCTTTAAATTGAGACAGGAGTAAATGGTTGTGTCATCAGCGTAGATGCCAAGTTGAGAGCTGATATCACTGGGAAGATCGTTAATGAAACAGCGTAGGACCAAGGATGGAGCACTGGGAGATGGTGACACCCACGTTAGTACGAAAGGATCTAGACGAGTGGCCGTTCAAGATAACTTTCATTTCACGATTTGACAGAAAGGGATGAAAGCGTCCATACCGGCTTTGATCCAAGAAGAAACATCAGTGGCGCAATTTTTATTTAAGAGGTTGAAGGAGCGGCATGAAGAAAATCCCGAAATGGCCATAATTTAAAAAAAATAAAACGCTTAACTCAAGAATTTTAAATAATTACAATAAATAAATTAATATATAAGTAATTAAACAAATTAAAATAATAGAAATATAAATAGAATAATTACATTAAAAATAGATACATATTCAAAAATATTTACTAACTTTCGTTTATTAGGCAGCAAATTACATCACATGATTTAGTTTTCATTACACTGCAAAAGATTTACGAATATTTTAAAGTATTCTCAGTTTCAAAATTTGAAAACTTAACGATATTTTCCTTCACATTATAACTGTGTATAAATACAAGTTACGAAAGAAAATCTCTAATTTTTCCTCGGTAAAGGTCTTAAGGGAAAAAACGCGTTGGTAGAAAAAAGTTTTTCGTTTGTCTTTTATTTATATTGTCTTTACAGATATTTTTTATATTTAATTTATATCTGATTATTTTATATTTAATTTATATCTGTGAATTTTTTTACACACACACATATTGGGTTTTATATATAAATAAATATATATATATATATATATATATATATATATATAAAGGAACATTGAAGTATATTATTATTTAGCGACAGATTGTTTCATATGCAATCATCAGGCATGATTTAGCATGGAAACAGTCTGTCGCCTCTGAATGTTGAGTTAAATGTCATTTTAAATTTTCATACGCTCTATTTCTGAAATTGAGCACTTTATTTCATAATTAAAGCATACCTTAAAGCTATATTTCTCTCTCTTTTTTAAAACTCCCTTTCGCTAGAGATCTCAACCGGATTTTCGGGAGCATTTATACAGATAGACTATATATATATATATATATATATATATATATATATACACATGTACATTACTTCAAACGTTATTATAGTAATAATATTAAGTAATAAAATATGGAATAAAAATAAATCCATTAATTCTTTTATATATATTAATTCTTAATATATATATTTTTTTTTAGATACAAATATCTAAGTAAATGTTCTGTTTATAATAATCAGAGCATTTACTTAAATATTTGTATCTATAAAAAGAATGTATAAACATAATATATGTAAGCAAATATATGTATATAAATCTGAACAGAAAAAAAATAATGTTTCATGTCTGAATTAGTTGGGCTCTAAATTGTTATGTTATAATGTTAATTATGTTTAAATGAAAATGTCCATGAAGATGGTCTTAAATAGACCGAAAAGTCCGACGTCGACTTTATTTTAACATTAATAATGCATATTCAGAATTTTGTTTTTTTTTGTATTTTTTTTTTTCAAACATAATATATATATAAACCCAGCCAAAAAGCGAACTAGGTAAAATAAGTAAAACAATACTAGAAAGAATCAATTTGAACTTTTAAAACCAGTGGTAAAACATCAACTATTGACTGGTTCCACAGCATAAATAACAAACAAAATTGCCAATTCCTACAATTAGACATAAAAGAATTTTACCCATCTGTAACAGAACCCATGCTAAACAAGGCCATCAACTTAGCTCAGGAACAAATAATAATAAAACCAAACGAAATCGACATCATTAAACATTCCCGTAAATCATTACTATTGCAAAATGAAGAAGCATGGGATCTTTGATTAAAACATAGGTATATACTTAGTACAC